GCTCCTCTCAACGCTCCGTTTTACGAGTCTCATTCACGGGCTTGAAGATGATATTGCCCCACATCAGGAATAAATATATTTCACCCATAACCATCAATATACAAGTATGATATTCGAGACTGAAATGTATTTCCGAAATGAGAGTGATGGTGCACGAGTTTGATCAACAACTGTGTATTATCGAACCATCAGTGGTTGTCATTAGACATCTGCACTGTTTATCTCGATATTCTGGCGGTAGATTCCAAACTCCACAGTACAAACAAATACGTGTGCAATGCCACTTCGCTCCTGTTTCAGGATGCAAGGCAAACCCCCTGCACAATAAAGTGCTTCTGGAAGAACAACTTAGTGGTGGCGAAGCTGTTTCGCATAGTTCACGAGGTGGTTTTCACACACACATGGTCATTCATCGCGAATGGAGCGTTACTCCTGTGAAAACCCGTTCACTATGACTTGGCGATCAGACATAAAGATTATTCGTTTTCTAGTTGGTTGCATAACCGACCCTTCTCAAAATCGTGACCTTGAGGTTTGGTAGCTGTTTCGCGACGATTAGCTTCATTTAAAACTAAAGCTGATATTTCCAATTTTAGCGTACAACATGGACAGTCGACACAGATCTTTATATTCCCGAAGGGATGGAACAAACTAACTGAAAAAATAAGAGCGGAAACAGAGACATACAAGGCGCTATCACTTGTAAGTTCGTATGTGGGCGCTCACGAAAAAACGGCGCACGGGAATGAATATTCTTGGTGAGGGGGGTTGAGGAGGAGTAAATGACGTGTACCCAAACAAATTAACTCCATTTCAAATGTTAGACGTCCGAGTTTCAAAGCATGGGATGAAGTTGTACAAAAATGAAGGCTGTATAGAAAACACGAACTCAGTAGAAAAGAGGCCTGATTCAAATAAAGGCGAAGATGTTGACCTGAATATTATCCAAGATGAACAAACGTTTATCCAATATGGGAGGTAAAAAGCAGCCTATTTGACCAGACAGGTCAGTAAACGGAATATCAATCAAAGCGCGCGAACATGTGGAAAAATGATTTATAAATTGTTTAAGCTGGAACAGAAATACTGAACGAACATGTTTTTGGAAGAATCGGAATTTAGAGCACTGTCGTTTGTATATAAAACACGAATCCCATGTGAACGGAATGAGATTTTTGAGTTTGTGCGGGTTTTATACAAAGAAAAGTTCTTATAAATATTTAAACGGAATTGAAAATTGCGATTATCTAGAGGGGGTGGGCAGGATAAAAATGGGGAATGGAGGTAAATATATACGTGCGTCGTGCGACCATATCGACCTGGTCGCCATAGTTACGAGTGTGCACTTAGCATTGGGACTAGCTAGAATGTGCGTCCGGTGGCCGACTTGTGACGCGCGCGATAAATCAGCTGACACACTTGTTCGTAGACAGTGAATCGACATGAGATGGATACACAGGATTTGAGCAAGGTGGGTCGAAGACCTTTGAACAGTGCCGCAGCACCTTCGGTGGTCCAGATTTTCACAAGGCAATCACACATACCACGTGAGGTTGGGACACGACCGAAAGGGGCTCGCGCTTCCTCAAATCCCTGATAGATTGTGCACGGAGAATTCGCAAACGATGGTAAGTGGGGAGAATAAAAAATAAAAGCAAATGACGTGTAAATGTTAGCATGTTGTGTATCAGTGAAGGCAAGGAGTTAAAAATAATGGGTCGAGATTGAGAAAATATTAGTTGATGCAGTTGTCAGCGGAGAAAACCCACGAATAACTTGTATTGTATTGTATTGTATTAAAGCTCTAATGAGTTATATACAAGCTTTCAACCAAAAAGAGACTCCCGTCAAAGGGAGGTACAGTATAGCATGACGATGTGAAATTGTTGTGCATAAAAATATACGGAATTTCAACTTTGTGACCTCACAAATCAATCAAGTCTTCGTTAAATTTGAAATTCCGCTCCAAAATCGGGAACAAGTAAAACGGGCGCAGAGATGGACCCTGGTGGAATTCTCGAAACACCACTATGGTGGAGCAAGCTCGTGGGGAACACGACAAACAATGAGCAAAGGTTTATTTGCCTTTAAGAATAGGTTTGGAAGTTGATCAAATATTAGTGATTGAAATAAATCAATCCAGTTTTTCTAAGCACTGTAGATACCACACAAAAGGGTGAACATTTTAGTGCGTCACATTCTACTCAAGAAGTTACGCGGTTGTATTGAGAGGATGCCCTTTCTATGAACTAGCTGAAGAGCTAACCGATGAAGTTTATTTCCCTAGGTGAGCGGCGGTATACGTAAATACAAAACCTTAGAGTGACTGGCATGTATTACTTGACTTTTACGGGAAGACGAACTTGTAGCATACAAGATCCAGGTTGTACAGTAAACGATTTTTGACTGTGCTGAAGAACAAAGTTGATATCCAACAGGCTAATAGGCGCCCAACATGTGCAACTCTTTTAAGGAAGAGGCAATAAACTGATACGGTTTTCATGACTATTCAGAGAGTAAGTCTCCCGAATGACGATGCGTCTTAATTCACTGTCATTGGTCTGAAAGTCAAACCCATTTGGATAGAAGAGCAGAATGAAGAGTTCATATAGGGTGGTGTTAGGAGAATAATTAGTGGATGCACGAACGTCACCGCTTGCGACATCCAGCCATATCATTCAGTGTCTCTAACCTTCGGTGGCCATGATCGCGGGGTTGCTTGCCATCCAGGGAGCCTGACGGGGTTTATGTGACCTAGTCTCCTGGTTAGGGTTTCCATACCCTCATATCAGGTCTTCGTTTGACTACCCTTGACCTTTTTCCAACCACACCCTGCCTCGACGAATATCGCTCGCCGTGGCAACCTATTTGGTGACATGAGTAACACATGCCTCAACCAACGTAATCTATGGTGGTCAATCACTTGCTTCAGTGAACAACCGCGACTGCCTAAAACTCTACGCCTGGCCTCAGCATTGCTCGTCCGGTTACCCCACCAGATTCGTGTAATGCGACGTAGACAGCGGTGTTTAAACACCGACAATCTAGCTTTATCCTGTTCCCGTAGTGGCCAAGTTTCTGCTCCATATAGCAGAACTGGCCGAACTGCTGCAGCATATACTCGACCCTTCACAGACAGCCGGATATAGCGACGACACCTCAAATGTCTCAATTTGGTAAATGCCAACCGAGCCTTTTGTATGCACGCCGACACTTCATCTGTGATGCGTCCGACAGGTGAGATACAGCTTCCCAGGTAGTAAAACTTGACCACTACCCCATTCATGGTGAGACTGGGTGTTGCACTAACCCAGTTTTGTAGTAACATTTCACAATTTGAAGGTGCAAAACGCATACCGAACATGGCTACGCTGGCATTCAAGCTATCCAGAAAAGCTGGCAACTTAACTGAATCTTCACTTAGTAGCACAAGGTCCTCTGCATAATCTGGACCACACAATCTGTCACCCGGGAGTAAATCGATATCACTATCCTCGCGCGAGGATAGGGCTGTTTCAAGAATTGAATCTATCACGAAGTTAAATAGAAATGGAGAGAGAGGGTAACCCTGACGAACACCACCGTCCGTGGTGAACTCGGGCGAAAAAGTGCCGTGGGCTCGGGCTCGACTTCGGCTATTAGTATAGAGCGATAGTAATATTGAAATAAACTTCTCGGACACACCCTTTAGAGCGAGGCAGCACCAGAGTTTAGAGCGATCGACTGAGTCGAAAGCCGCTTTCAAATCGAGAAAAACAGAGATGGTGGGTCTACGAAAGGAGTGTCCGTGTACTAGAATTTGACGAAGAGTGCAGATGTGGTCGATACAACCTCAACCGGGTCTGAAACCAGTCTGGTTCGCACGCGCACACCGTTTACGTGCGGTAGACAATCGACGGAGTATAACACACGTGAAAAGTTTAGAGACAATGTTGATTAAACTAATTCCTTTGTGGTTTTCACAAGAGGATCTGTCGCCTTTCTTGTAAATCGGTATGATCACCGATTCACACCATTCAGTTGGGACCTCTTCCCTCTCTCACATTGAGCCCAGGAGTTTTCTTAACTCCAAACCATGGCCGAACCTCCATCCATAAAAGCCGATGGGGACAGACTGTTGGGGCCGGAAGCCTTATGCCGTTTGAGATAACTTATTTCCCGGGTAACCTCCATTTCAGAAGGAAGACTGATGTCAACTGACAGTATTTGCAGGCTTGAATCGGGTAAGGGGAGGTCTTGTGCTGACGGGGACCAGCAGAACCGTGCCTTAAAATGTTCAGCTCAACGTTCAAGACGGCGTTCCTGAATTTGAATCAAACTTCTCAATTACCTCACGCCTACTTTCCTACTTCGTTGCTCCTGTACTACTAATTAAACGAAAAATATTTCGACTATTAACGACAGCCGCAGCCTTCTCCATCTCTCTAAACTTACTTCCCACCAAATCTCGCGGTCATTTCTCAGACTATTGATGGGCTGCGTTTAAGGGATTTGTGCGCTTTGCCGTATTTTGAATCCGAAGGAATGGCTTTGCGAGCGTCCAGCAGGGCAACCATCATCATCATCATTGTACAGCGTAATACAATTTGGCAAACTTCACTGATCGCTGCCAAACTCATTGCATACAAGTAAGTGATTTTGGGTTAGGAGGATAGAGATTGGACCTATTCTCATGGACGGGAAAAGAAAGTGAACCTGTATGTTCAACACACAGAGTACACAGTCCAGCTGTGCATCCATACTATTTCAAACATTCTGATCTTTTAAGAAGTGACAGTATGATCGCCATTGCTGTCGGTGCGCAGCCATGACCTTCAGTGTATCCAAGCATGGTATTTCTGAGTCTTTTGGACCCCAACACGGAAGCCGAGAGATACCTACTCTACCTAATCGCTCTGTGCATTTCTTCATGCCTCGTCTCCACGTCATCTGCTGGCCTCCACGTAGCTTTCTCCAGCCTACAACAGCCACTGCGAATAGGACCGCTGCAGTAGGCGACCGTCGGACATACACAACACGTGTCCTATTCTACGAGGCTTATTGAGCTGGATTCGATTCGATAGCGTGTTCTTGTTTGAGGTATTCCAAAATACCCGACAACTTACTTCCAACTTAATAACCCGCTCACTCGATCCCACTTGGGCCAGACTATGTAGGCATCGATTGTCGAACACTGCTAAACGACGGATGTCTTCTACCCGCAGGTTCAAGGTCTCACAACCGTAAAGCAGAACTGATCATACAGTGGCGCAGTATACGCGACTTTCCAACTTCAGTGAAACGTCACGTCGCCGCCACAGGTGTTTAAGTCCTGCGTACGATACTGGAACCTTGGAAATGCGGACGGTTATCTCCTTCGATGCGCTACCGTCGTTAGTCACGCAGCTACCTAAGTACAAGAAGCAGCTAATTCCTGACCGTCTAGTTTCACAACGGAGCTCGGCGGCACCCAGTCTTGTAGCATCAATTTGCACTTTGAAGGTGCAAAGCACATGCCGAACGGAGCGACAGAACTTGCTACTCTGTCAGAAGCCATTGGTTTGGCCCCCTTTCGTTCAAACAGAAAAATTGTGTCGTCAACCTATTGTAAGCCGCACTGCTTTTCTCTAGCTACATTCAACACCAAGATTTCGGAGATCACTTGGTGTGCTCTCCAGTATTTCATCTACGACGAATTTGAATACGAATGTCGAAAGAGGGCACCGTTGACGAACGACAATTAGTTTCGAACAAAGTGCTTGGCTCGTCGTAAATTCTCATGCTACCAGAAGTCTACAATACGGTGACCTCAATGGGTGTATGTACTTCCGTGGAATTCCCTTGTGAAGCAGCAAACCCATTAGAGATTTGCGGTCAATTGAATCAAAGGCTCCTTTGAAGTAAAAGAACATTGCGATTTTGGATCAACGACGTGTGTGGCGTAACTCGAGGACTCGATGCCGAGTGGAGATTTGTCGATCCAACCGCGACTTGGACAGAATCTCATTCGCTGTTCGGAAATATTCATTTTAGGCGATGAATTATCACACAGGTAAACACTTTTTTGATGGTTGGAACTAAACTTATCCCGCGGTGGTTTGCACGGTCATTGTTCAATCTTTCCTAGCAGATTAGAAAGATCAATCATTAGCCTAAAGAGGGAAGGAATACGCTCTTCCGATCAGATGCTACACAGTGAAATAGTATTAATGTCGAAAAGAGAGAGATTCACCTCTAGGGTTGAAAATGATAAGAGAATACCGGTCAAGTCCTACTGCCTTCCCTTTATTTAGCGGTTGGGTAACACTGTTATTAAAGGCAAACAATGGCGGTAAATTATTGAAGTTTTGAAGAATCTAATTATGGATCGCGGATCACGAATCACGGCCGCAACTGAAGCACAGAATCGCACTGTCAATCGCACGCTAGAATCTCCTATCAACGAAACGCAAGAAAAAGGTCACAGAAGCAACGGTTTATTTATTGAGGAAAATCAATGAGAAGAAGAAATGTATTTTATTTGTTATACAAGTCTCCACCAATGACCTGCTTGTATTCTTGATGTCATACAGCTTCTGTCTGAACCGCACGACTTCTGATTGGTCAACAGGATTGGCCTGTGGTTCATGGTCCGGGAACTGTAATGCATGGCACCGTGGTTGACGTTTTCTCGTAGTCCAGGATCTCCAAATCTCACCAACAACCTCAAATCACATCGACCGTTCTTTTGCTTTTCGGTTTATTTCACTGGCTTATATCTAGTGGTTGACAAGTAAGACAAAAGATGGAAGAGGGTCACCTTTGAAAAGATCAGTGCTATCCATGTGGCCTCGTAGCGCAGCTGGCAGTGTATGTACTGTATAAAATCGCAGGCAGTGCACATGTCTGGTTTCGAATCTGCGGTGATCCTGGACAGCCAATCCACAGTTTTGTGCAGACAATTCTAGTTTCGCTTTTGTAATTTGTGAGC